TTGGGTTTTTTTTAAAAGCAATATTTGCCCAGGATTGTATCGTGTTTTCGAAAAGTATAGGTTTAATTTGAATCTTCGCAATTTTTTTCATAATTAAGTTACAAGTAACCCTCAAATATCTGAAAATGAGTATGCACATATAAAATAATACGTTTTTACCTTTATATCTGTTCAACATGTATTAACTGTAGTGGTGTGATTCTTTAACTTACTACTTACCAGTTAGCATTTCGAGAAGGCGACCTAGTGGTTTATCTTTCTCTTTTTGATCAGATTATATTAAATATGTATATGTTTTTCTAATACTGGTTTGAATGTGCATATAATATTTGATATTGCAGCTTGATCTGATGATTCCTTTACATTTCCTGTAAGTTTTTTTTTAAATTGCAAGTGCACATATATATAAACAAATGCTCAAAGTGTATCTGGCACAATCGGATTATGATTGCCATGTTTTTATTGCCGGTTTTAGTTGTACTGCAAACTAGGGGAGGAAACCCTGTATGTGGTTTTTACGCGGTGAGGTTGCACTTGCCGGGGCCCCGCCTGATAATCAAGTACTATTGTTAAATGGAGTGCATGATTTTTTAAGGTTTGCTAGTTAATCGCATATGTCTGTAAATTATTTTGTTTGTCTATAACAAAATATCTGTAAGATGTAGTGTACGTTCTCAAATAATATTACTTATTGAATATTCATTAAGGTTGAGAAAAGCTAGATGCAGAAATTACTGTACAAATGCCCATTTATTCTGGAGTAGAGTTAAGTAATGTTTACTGTTAGTAAAATATTAACACTAGATCACTAATATTAATCATAATTGTTGGATCAACAATTATTACAGATTTTTAAATAAAAGTATAGACTAAAAGTGCAAAATAAATTCAATAAATTATGGTAATAAAATAAAATCAAATAATATAAAATAGTCATTAATCATATTGAACATTTTTTCTCGAACTATTCTATCGGTACTCTGTTTTACGATTTGTATATTTTATGAATTGTTTTTATGGGGAATCATTTGTTTATGGATATCATTTTACCTTTTTTATATCCAAGCGCATTCACATCTGTTTATCTAGTATCAATTTCAAAAATCTGTGTAACATTATAAATATGAACAGATTTTTCTATTTGCGAATGTAATTTGTTTTATATATCTCAATAAATAAATGATAAATTGATTTGTAATAAATTATTATATTATAATATTATTCCACCATCAGTATTTACCAACAATTTGCTTTAGCGAGATTTTAATTGTCTAAAATTAGCTTATCAACATTCTAACTGCGAAATCTGGATGGAAATATAGATTAAGCTCATCCATATTTTATGAGGCACCGCTCTAATGTGTGCTGTTAATGGCTAATGATCAGAAACGAACTAGATATAGAGATATATAAATGGTAAATTGAATAGATTGGTCTGTTATTTATGGATACAAATACAAATTTCAATATAATGTATTAAATATTTATATATATTCATTTACCAGTTATCAAAAAATATTTATAGACTTATGAAAATATATAATTTTAACTTGAAATTCATTATGGGTTAATACTACCATAACATGAATTATTGACGTCATACACATTCGCGACAAAATCCAATTTTTAAAAATACTTATCGCCTTCTAATTATTTTAATGCAAAATATGTTTTTTGTAACTAGGCTTACTATATTTTATTACTTAATTGAAAACGTTCTTATGGTGTCTATATAAAAGCACCTCAAGAAAAGTTACCTTAATTGTAGGTTGGGAGTAAAACAATACAGTTACTTACTTCCGAACAACCTAATGATTTTCGATAATAACATTTGTCGGCTTCACGTATTTGTATGGGTTATTTGCTAAACATAAATAGCAATAATGCTTACTCTAATCTCCTGTATTTGCTATCGTAAATAGGAATGATATTTCGTATAATTTCTCGTATACGCATCCATTACGTTGACATAATGTGTCCGTACATGCAAATGTGTTTTGTGCGGTTGCTGAATTATCCTGTGGGCGATTAATTGAGTGCGATTAATCAAAAGCTCTCGTTTACGAACGAGCACCTTTATTGGAATATATGATGTGCATTTGGACACTGGCCAAATTTCTCCGTCCTGATTCTAATCCATGGATCTAATTCTGGGATTGCATGTCTGGCCCGCCATGTTTACTGCTACACAGAAGTTAGAAGTCGTGGCGCGAGATGGAATTCGAAACGAAGTTCTATACATAGTTGGTTCCATGTAGCTAAAAATTAAACTCCAGGGCATGTCCATTAGTTAAACTGATCTTATGCGATAAACTCATTGTGAAAGATAAGCTGTTTGCAAGTTTGAATAAATTACGGAAAACATTTTTAAAATTTTTAAATTTTGGGCACTAATATTTTATATGATGCGCTTATTACTTCAAATTTAATAGCAATTATTAAAATGATAAATTAAAATTGAAAAAAAGTATAATTTACTGCATTTAGCAAATATAAATATTTGCGATTCCTATCTTAATTGGAAACTGCAACTTTTACCAGGTTGAGTGAAATGCGAGAGCTATTTTTACAGCCGGCCGCGACGCTCTCAGAGCAATCACTCGAAATGCAATTTAACTAGATTGAGGGCTGGAAAACTCTACAATTTTGGAAATAATTTTTTATTTCTCAATTTTAAACATGTTACTAATTTCTGTTTGTGAGATAACTACTCTATTATTGTGCAAAATTATTAATTAAATTGAACTTTTTCAATATTTATTTTTATACATATTTGTATTCGGGCATACGTAGTTCCAAAGCTTTGAAAATGAATAACATATTTTCAAAAACTTTTTTTTTGTTTTTTGAGCATATAAATACCAATACACTTGTACTTACTTTTACAAATGCAAATACAAAATATTGATTATATACACTCATGAATTAAATATAAATATAATCTTATGTTACATTCTTAACTATGTATAATTGTTTCAATATTATTTTGCAAACTGTAATACTTGAAATTTTAATTCAGAATGATCAAGTATCTCCCATTTTAATGTTAGGAATTAAATTTCCTTCAAAACATTTACAGTTTCTTTATTAAATAAATGGCATTAAGCTCTCAGATTACAAGCAACAATAAAACAAACAAAACTCGAACTCGTCGAGGTAAATGCAACAATAGGGAAATATGGAACATGAAATATGAATATGTCACCCATGGACATTTTCTTCGCTACTTGTACATAAAATTCTCTTAGAAAACAAAGGGAAAAACAGTTGAATTCATACATTTATATATGAAGGAAGCCGTTAGGGTGACTAGAGAAGATATTTTTATTTCATGCGCTTCAGGAATACATTTAGTACATTTTGTTTTCCTCGCCATTTTTTTATATATTGATAAACAATTTATTAATTAAATTAGGTGAATAAATTTATGTAGTCTCTTGTTTTCGTGAAATTTCCGCCAGTATAAATATCCTACAATGATACGGTTGTGAGCAATGCTTTTAATACAATAGGAAAGATTTGCCGATCATCACGTAACATGGATAAAAATGATACGCCAAACCCAACAATGAGCTCCCTAGAATAGATTCTATTTTTTTTGTGAACTGGAAGAAAGGGCTTAGCTAATTTTTATATATTACTAATCACAACTATGTCATGATTAAGTCGTTTCTGATTTTTATATCAGACTGTTTGGCTTCAGCGAATTTTGTACTTCCCTTTTTGTGAAGTTAGTGATTTTGAATTTCGTAATAGAACCATTAAATTATACTCGAACAATCAGTCTTAGTGAATTATTAGTGCTTATTATTTCAGTCGTGGATAAGTATTGTGTCTCATGTTGTACTCTCAGTTATTTATAACGTTCTGGTGAGAGTTGAGTGCATTGATGGCCTGGAAGATCGTAAATTAAGTAATAAAACATAGTGCCGAATGCGGTTAGCCGCCTTACTGTAAACAAACATCAATTTGTACTGCGACTTGTTTTTTCTTCTTACTTTAAAAGTCAATTAAGGCAACAGTACACAACAATGATTGCTTTAATTAATGAATTTAAATTTGTCATTTTTCAATTAAAATTGATAATACTAAAAACATTTCTATGTTTTAATCAATTACATTGAAGTTAATAAACTATTTATTTGTACTGTTAACCTTCATTTAATGATCATTTTTAGATTTTGTATTAATTGGTTATAGAATTGCATTTGCATAGTTAGTTACTTTCTTTGTAGATATGCTAACTTGCGAACTGATGATTAGATTCTAACTATTAGTCAATATTTACTTATAACAACGAACTGTAAGTTAAATAAATTACCATTGTAAATTAGTATATATTTAGTGAACATTCAAATATTCATCGGTTCTATTAAAGTTGTGACAATTTATCAATATTTACATTACATATATAATAAAAGCTATTGAAATTGCGTTATTTAATTACATACAATTCGTGAAATGCAACATAATGAAATAAATTTAATATTTTTCATTATAAAATGCTTATTTTTATACTAATACTAACATTTTTTAAATTATATTAACAAAGCAAAGTGTAGTGCAAAGTAGTCATTTTCACACAAGGTCTTCAATTTTAATATATTATTAAAGAATATTTCTATAATAGTAATTCAATCAAATATAATCACTATATAACATGTACATTTATTAAAAATATAATAAATATATGTATAAATATAATTTCAAATTTTATAATATAATTCAATATTAATATTATTAATATTCATTCAGTACTTAATTTCTGGAAACCTTCTTTCTTTGGTACATGTTCAATTGTATTATTTAGGTCCACTTTATTTAATATTGATGACATTGTTGTACAATTTGTTCATACAACTGTATATACTAAAGAGTGCATGCAATAACTGCATATTTGGTCCATATGGACTATATATTTCTATTGTCATGGTGTTGATCAATTACTATATAATAATAAACGGTTAAGTTTAAATTTTAAATTCTTTTTCTCGTTTCCAGTGTGATGGTTCCTGGCTGGCAAGGCAATCTGCAAGCGGCGGTGGCCCAGAGTGCCCCTTTAACCGCCTGGGAGCGCTTGGGGGTAGAATTTGCTTTGGCATTCGCCATCGTCATCTCTCATCTGATCGCCAACGAAAGTCACCAAACCAGGTATTCCAGCGCCGGATCCGCTGCCAAAGCTTCGGCTGCCGGATTTGCCTACGCAGCTTGCAGTTTCGTTTCGGTGAGTAAAAGATTATTTTATTTATTAGTGAAGGATAATAAACACAGTTAAATCTATTACCGCGATAACTAACTTATTTTGTTTTAATTTGAAGTAATTTGCACGAAATTTCAATCTATTGAAATGTCTTCGTAGATATAAAACATGATTTGAGCCACGGTTGTCTACTAAGCACATACGTGATTCTCCTTTTCTTTCATTTAAATTATCGTTAAGAAATATCATTCGAATCATCATACACTAAGAATTTCAATATTGCTATATTTTGCAAAACTGTGACTCTATTGAGAAAAACTACTTAATCATTCTCAAAATTTATATATTTCCGAAAACCATATCATATTATTAATAGATCTATCCATTTCAAGTGCTATATGCTTCAAAAATTCAGAGGGACTCACTTTATATTATTATCATTTTACATCTACCCTGTGTGAATCTTTTTTCTCACAATCTGATCAAGACTGATTGATTGATGACCTTTTCAAATTATGACGAATTTGCGAATCGTTTATTTTCTATTGAGTGCAAATATATGGTAACGACATCGAAAAAATTATAATCGTTAATTTTAACCAAATATTCTCATTGTTTTTTTTTTTAATTCGATGTGAAATGTTGAGTTCGGATTCTTCTGATCACGGACTCTTTTCTCGGAACTTATGTTTTTCAAGTGATAAATTAGGATTGTAATAGTTTTGTACTATTTTGAATAAATATGCATCTGTAGAGATTATCATGATCGTTGTGATATTTGTCCAAACACGTTCTTAAATCAATATCAGAATCGCAGGCGACAATGGTGTTCGGTCATAAATCCGAGTCTTGTCAGTATCATTGTACACAACACGATGTAAATAATATTTTCACGTCGGACGGAGTGCGAAACATTTGAAAATAGAGGTTTGCAACCTAATCTGGCATAAATTATAAATATAGAAAAAGGTCACAAATTTTATTCATATTAAAAAAGAATTAAAGATATTTACCTTTCAATTACAAAATGCAATATTTGCATGCAAATGTAAAAAAAAAATTTAGAGATTGTTAGCGATTTTTTTGAGAAAATCTCGTTTTTGCTAGATTACTGTTAGTATTTAGCAACGGAGCTTTCTAGTAATATATAGCTTCTCATGATAAGATTAACAAGGATCAAACCAACAAAGTCTGCAACACAAACATTTTGAAGAATACTTCAACAGATTTTGTAATCATAATTGCGCCTGGTGTGGCTTTGTTTCTTGTTATTGCTTGAAACATAGGATAGACGATATATTTTTGATGTGGAACTATATAAATGATACAAAATATGCAAAGAAAACAAAGCCAAATCTGTCCGTTCGGGAATGGTTGCGCGCCTCCGACCAGAGTCATCTCGAACATCGGATAAATGTCTTACGCACCACCCGACCATCGAATGGGACTCCAACGAATCGCCAAATGCGACAGAACAATGCAATTTTTCTACCTGGAAAACAGCCACATCGATTCGTGTGTGTTTGCACAGTGTCGAGCTGTTTTTTCCATCATATTCAACGTTGCACAATAGAGTCCCAGGTAAACAGGCACAAAGGACTCGAATTCAATGCACACGTATCCCTTCGGAATAAAAGCTAAACATAAAGATGATGATTGTTCCCTACACCTTCTATTTCGAAATGTCCAAAGACGTGGCCGTTAAAGGAACTATCATTTTATCTGCTCTTGTGAATTGTTAAAAATTAGGAATAGAATACGGAGATCGCCTGATCATTTTTAAATGCATATTCTATAAGCGCGTGCAAGAGTTGCAAAATTATTCTTATCTTTTAATAGAAGAAACAATTTTCTTTAGAATAATTTATGTATAACTGGATTCTTTTGTCAATACTATATTTTGTTCGTTCCTAGTAAGCTGATTACTACAAAATTTCCAGCGCCGTAGAGAGCAAAATTAATGTTCTGTGGTTTATATTTAATATTTTTATCATAAAACGATATCAACCGAATTTTTGTAATTAATATTGCAAAAATTATTAAAAATAAGTAGTCTTCTCTTAGCTTTTGCGAAATTTAGAAAGTCAGCTTTTCGTCGTTAACATAACAACATAATTTTTCGTTCGTTATTTAACACTAAATGATGGGATAAATAATATAATTTGATGAACTTGAAAATATATATTTTTTCAATTCATGATTTTCATTAATTTTTAATAGAAAATAGATTGATATATGAAAAGTAGATAAATATTTCAATTCTAACTTAAGGTCTGAATAATTAATTTTGGTTTTTTTTACTACTTGTATTATGCCCATATAAAGACTTTGATTGCACAACCCAATGAAGGTTATTGATTGTCTTCAAGTCTTTATTGCTACATTAATAATATATTGAAAATTCAGATATATCTTTTAACATTCCGGATATGGTTTTGTTTTAAAAGAATGATTCCTTTAGATCATATCTGGTGTTTCGTATGTCGTTTTTTCCGCTTGTGGGCCATCGCGTCGTAAGCGAACGTTAGATTTGTTAGATTGCCGTTCCGACGTAACCCTTTTCGGGAATCGTAACAGACGGACATTAGTAATGATTTTGGTGGCCAGGTGCTATGCATCAAGTATTAACGTTTATTTATAAGTTAAATGAAATTTTATTCACTCACGCAGACAGAAAAACGATCGGATAGAGAAATAGACCGCGAGAAGGCGAACATTCTATTTGTTTACGAATCAACCCCTTCGGTATCTTCTTGCAGATGCTCTGACGGTTGTTGCTTCGTGGCTTTGTTGCTTCTCGATAATCCTTTCGAAAAAGTTTTATATAAACGACCGTTAAGCGGAAATCATATTCAGCTAAGTTTTTTTCTGTTAATTTTATGAATTGTACACATACTTAACGCGCATAATTTGTTTCAAAACCATACTCGTAAAGACAATCGATTATGCAAACCGTTTGCACAATTTCGGACACAAGAATTCGCTTTGTCATTAGCATGAATTGCATCGCTCGTTAAGCGAGATATTTAACAAACTATACCATGTACTGTATATGTTAATATATAAATATTTGGTATTTCATAAATATATAACCAAAAAAAATAACTTAATATGTTTTCTGTACAAAACAAAACTAATCTGGAACAGGGACATAATTCTTTTAATTGTATTTCTTTTTTCTCAAGAGTCATGTGAGATAATGTACTCGTAATATTTCAATTCCAATGATACATACTGATGGTATTCATATTAATTAATTATATATATAAGGTAGGGGGCATAAAGATCCAATTTGAATTTTGACAATTATACAGTGAAAACCAAACCAACCACATCAAAACAAATAACACATATCAAACAAACAACTATCTAACTATGTTCAGTAAAATACCTAGCTAATTCATCATTGTAGAACTATTTTTTTGCAATTTTTCAAATTTTTGTCACTTGGTTCTTTTTACTCTATAGTCAGGGTACAATGGTAAAGCCAGGAAACAAAGAGATCCAATGTCTTATTCTTGAAAGGATTTTACGAAATAATAGTTACATTATTCAATCAATGTAAAATATTTATTTCATGGACACATTTTTTACAAAGATAACACTGTATATAACCTTGATCTAGTATTTCGTTAGATATATTCATCAGCAGAGTTGGAATAACTATTAATTTAATTTATCTCTTGTAAAATTGTTGTTTTAAACTTTTTTTTAATTCGTTATAATCATTAATTCTTGTACTATGAAAAATTATATTGACACTCGCGTATTCATATGTCTAGTTATTTAGAAATATGTAGAAAAATTAGTCGAAAAACTTTTAATAATTATTTGTTAAAATTATAATAAACATTTTTAATATAATATGAGGAAACACAGTAGTCATATTTTTATTCGCAGAAGTACGAACAGAGCAGTTTAAATAACTTTGTCGGTTATAGTAAAAATTAAGAATTCACAATTAAAGCCTTAATCTGATATATATTTTACCTATGGTCGATTGTCAATCTCGAATCCAATTATTAGGCGTCGCCTGACGTAGTACGCGGCATACATCATCACGTCATAGTTCATTTATGTTATTATTTTTGTATTACTGTTTTTATTTTATTTTTATTTTAACTTTTTTTTTTATATTCAATTTATTGCATTTTTTGTATTTTTGTATTTTTTTTTTGCTCATATCAATTTTGTAAATAAGACATTAAAGTCTTGATTAACAAAAATAAATTGTGACAAAAAAAAATTATTAGGCGAAGTTTTGCGTATGATTCGTCTTTTCTGTTACGTTATTACCCTGTTATTACTTTCGGTGCATTTGAACAGAAGGAATTCGACTTCTTACTCGGATCGACTGTTGATGTCGAAGATCGTTCTTTCTCTCGGTTTTCGTAATTTCGTTTGTTTTTCGACGCGGACACCTGCCGCACAGGTATGCCGCTTGGACGCAGGTAAGCGACCGCGCGAAATGCACTTGCGCCAAGATTGCGACATGTTCAGTTACCCAAATTATTAAAATTACTCGGATTGTTCTAACAGTAATCTTGATTTTTACCCAGTGGAAGTCAAATAAGGATTTTCATCTTATCCGTTCTGGTTCAAACAGCACTTTTACCATTTGTACAGTACAAAATACAATTATATTCGTCTATTTGTGACTATATTATGAATTATGTTGTCATTGAATAATTGTCACTAGCTAACAAAATGAATGGTGAATTCTCAATTGATTGATTGATTATATTAGATTAATACATTATCACGAGGTTATGCGGGACAAGTAGCAATAAATAAATTCAATACAATGATATAGGTCAAAGTGTAGTAGAACTGAACTTACTAAAAGTAGATTTGAATTACACTTGCATTTATCATAATACAGTATTGAAGCCCACGATTTTGATTAAGAGTGTGTTAGAGTTCCATACATTAGAACCCGTATTTTAATTTTATATAGATTTAAGTACGGGTAATTTAGGACATGAGATCAATTGAAATAATTTCAATGATTTTTACAAGTTATTATGCCTTATATATAATAATATTATTTCTTCCAGATGCCGTATCTTAATCCAGCTCGTTCTCTCGGTCCGTCTTTCGTGCTAAATCATTGGGACAACCATTGGGTATACTGGTTTGGTCCGGTCGCTGGCGGAATCGCATCAGGACTGATCTACACGTTTGCTTTTGATCCCAAACGCAATAGATCTAACAGATCCACATCTTTGGATGGAGGAGATTCAAGAAGTGTCGATTCTGACGAAGATACATATGATGATTTAGATGGAAACAAGGGAAATGGTGCTCAGCAACAACAGAAATTTCACAGTGGATCGGCTTATAATACTTACAGACCAGCTGTAGGGGCACCACCACATGGTAAATTGATTTACTTATTTAATATTCGTTAATAGAAGGATTATTTAATAATACATAATAAATAACACAATAACAGAAATTGCCATGTTATATAATATAATTTTTATTTGTATTTTTTCAGGAGGCAACACATACTGTTCAAGTTTGGCAACGGCTAGTTTGTATTCGCCACCTAACAAATTAGATCGTGTGGAATCTATATATGGTGGTACCAAATCCTTATACTGTAAATCACCGCCACTGACTCGTGCCAATCTCAATCGCTCTCAATCCGTTTACACAAAATCCAACTCCGCATTAAACCGAGAACTGTTGCCTCGTCCCGGACCTCTCGTGCCCGCACAATCTTTGTACCCGATGAGATTGAATCAGCAACAACAGCAAGTGAGTCAACAACACGTTGCACAGAATCAGAATACTCAAAACACTTTGTATGGCCAGCGTAGGCCTGAAGTTCAAGGAGGCTACAGTAATGGAGTGTATGGAACTAGAACAAACCCAACAGGAGATGTGCAAACCCAAAAATTTGATGAGGGTGGCAAATTCAACCGAGGTAACAGACCTGAATCGGTTTATGGCACAACTGGGCCTAGACGAGGACAGTCCACACAGTCTGATGATTCTTCATATGGTTCATACCAAGGATCAACAGCACAGAATGCAAATGCATATTCTGGGGGGCAACCTACATATGTTAAAAGTGCTGTAACGCAGAGGCCAAATCAAGAGGGCCAAGTGAGGCCGCCACAACAAATAGCACCTCCTACACACCATGCTATAAGGCAACCACAGCAGTCACCAAATCCTCAATACTGATTTTAGTATTATAAGTGTGAATGATATTTGTGTGAATGTGGAATGATATGTTTTGAATAATTGAAAATTATAAAGTTTGTTTTTGAATATAGTATGCATTTCTGTATGATTTGTTTGGTGTGAGCAAACTTAATATTGTAACGTTTATATATTATAGTATGAATGATTTATTATAGATCAAGATAATTGACGACCAGAGTTTTCTGTGTGATGTTTATATATTACTAATAATGACTTGTATATAGTTTGATGATAGACAAAACTGTATTTAAAAGGAATGTGTACTGTCCATCAAATAGAATGAATTACCATAGGAATATATAAAATTTTAAAATAGTTTGTTAATGTACTTAAAGTATGAAACGTTTTTGAATATGTCACAGTTTTATTTATTTTTTAAATCAATTGTCAATGTACTCATAATTGAAATTGTCTTATGTGATAAGTTTCATTCACCATTTGTTTAAAATTTAACATATAATAAAAATGTTTGTTCAAAAGGAAGGAAGAAAGTAATTACTGTATGTTTTTACTTTCTTAATAAAATTGTAGTGTACACAAACCTATAATAACAGTGCCACAAATCCTATAATATGTTAAAAATATATATAGAATAGTTCTTATTATGCGAAGTGTATATATTATGTAATGGTCAATGTAATTTATATAAAAATTCAATAAAAATAAATACATATTAATTGCATTTTTTTTTTCAATGTTTGTGGAAATTCATAAGCATAACGGAACAATAATTTTATTTATTTTGAATTGTAAGTGTTCAATTGCAGTTAATTTATTATCACATAGCCTATAATATATTGACTATTAAAAGTTAAAATGTTGATGAAGGCATTGATTCAATTATATTGCCCAGCATTATTATAGTGTCGAAGGATTCAACTGCAGAGAGCAAAGTGGAAAGCGTATTTTATAAACTTGAGGCAAATATATATTTATGACAAAAATACAAAAACTAGAGACGAACTTAAATATATTTTCGAAGACATATAATAATAATTTCGTTGGAATATTTCGGTTGCCTAACGCGAGAATAATATTTGTGCGCCACATGATTGATAAGAATCTCAACTATTGAATTTGTATTTGATTTTTATCGTAAGATGTAACTATAATATTGAATAACCTTTTAGTAGACGGTTCGTTTCATTCAATCGTTAGTCGCAGACCATTTGTGTAAAAGTTTTATTTTGTTAAATTGTTTTATAATTTATTATGACAACAGTTTTTATGTTGGTAGGCCCCATGTGATATTTTCGAATCTGACGTCTACTCGTTGAACTGTCAATGGAAGAACTAAACAGAAATCTGACAGCTGTAAAGAAAATTGTGTGCATATAATATTTCATGTAAGGGAATTGGCATTTATAGGTAAATAATTGTATATACAAGTAGCATCTATATATATACAGTAGAGCCTCGATTAACCGGACTAATTGCTGTCGATGGGCATTCGGATAATCGAATGTATAAAGAATAATGTTGTGTACTTATTAAAAATAACAATGACATACATAGATATCAACGAAAATCAATGTTTATTGAGAAATTAACACTTCTTCATGTATGTACATATATATTTTCTTAGATTACATTACATGCATATACTAAACTGCACCATTAATCGTGCAAAAATTCGAATTGTAGGTGTGTTTATACATATAAATAAAGACATAGTCGTGGTTGGTAGTCCGGATAATGGCGAATTCGTATAACTGAGGTCCGGATAATCGAGGTTCTACTATATGTGGATTTGGTGTTGATATATATTTTGATGATTTATGTTGATTCGAGTAGTACCAAGTAAAATAACTGAAGCAATTGTGATAAGCTTTATTTAACCATAAGTTTCGGTCTTCGTCAAAGCAGTCATTCAGTGGAACAAGGAAAATTAGTTACACATAAATACGCTACACTTTTACACAATGTTAAGCCAAATTTAAATTATTTATTGAAACAATTGAAATTATAAATTTAGATGACAATTTTGAGTTGTATATTTTTGTACACTGTTGTTGAAGTCTAAATTCTGAATGAATTGTTTTTACAAATGTTTATTCGAAGATGTAAAAAAGACTGGTAAAACACATTTTTCTGCTAAAGTAATAAAAGTGACGCGCTTTATATATTTTATAGCCATTGCAAAGCAAATTGCTGTCAGTACGTTTATTTATTTCCTTATTGTATAATGATATCAGACATCCTTCGCTCTCCTCCTTCTCAAATCACCTTTCCAATAAATTAGTTTGAAATGTAAAATTGTCGAGTTGAGGAAATTCAAGTTATGTTTGAACATTAATGTGTTCTGGGAGCATAGTTTTGTATTGGTTTTTGTTTTTAGAATTATTTTTGTGTTGCGATATTGTTTTGTGTAAATTTTGCCTGGTTTCGCCTATGTAAACGCCATCACAATTTAGACAATTTAGCTTGTTTTTATATTTTTGTTTTTTTTATTCTCTATTTTATTTACAACTGTCTAGTTAAGGACATTTAATAAATTTGGGAATTTACAATTGTCAGCCGTAAAGGGACATTGTATACTAAATGGGCATGTTGGAAAAACAACTCAATAGTTGTTTTCCCATTTGTTATAATATAAACAATATTTTATTGATAATTATATAATCTTAACTATATACTTACAAAATAATTTCTTATAAATAATGACCAAGTTATTTCAATTTTTATCAAGAAAGTGGATGACTTAATTTCAGTTGCGTTTTTTTTCAACCTTTGTTGATAGTTCTTTGTAATTAAGGAGTTTGCTAGTGAATTTGGGTGATTGATGAGCTTGTTTCTATATTTATGTGCTGTTTTTGTTATTACATTATTCATGGTAGGTGTGTTCGTGTCGAGATGAATTAGTCAGTTCGGGATATATTTTGGTGCTTCTAAGGCAATTTTCAAAAATTTGTTCTGAAATTTCTGTATCATTTCTATATTACCCTTATGAGCACTGCTCCACAATTGTATTTCATAGCACCAAAAATTCAAAAATTAGTTTGAATAAAGTTTTATATAAAAATAGCTTATTGTATGAGCTTAGAAAAAAGACCCATAGAAAAAAATTGCATAGCTAGGGCAATAGCGCTGGCCATGTTATGTGGCACTGTTTTGTGAAATAACCTGGCTGGGAAACATCTGATTTGATGTAATCTGTTCAAAGTGACCCCATAGAACCCGTGACCTTTCTTGTTGAAGCCTTATCTTACCATTGGGTTGCTTCTATTTAGGTTGCGCGAAGGTTGTGACATGTGAACGTAACAAACAGAGGTAACTGAAGCAGCCATACCATACCAGAATTTTGGTTTCCATACTTGAAAATGCAGACACCATCTTTTCAATTGCACGCCAGAGTGATATCATCAAACTATATTAATTTTATGATCGACTTATTTTATTTATTAGGAGATGGCATTTAGGTAATAACAAACATCCTAAAATGTTAAAGGTATGTTATGGAAGTTGTTTGATCATAAAAATTCAGTATATATCAACAATGACAAACAATTGACTTTGTAGGAAATTGATAAACTAAATTGGTTTTCAGCAATATATTGTCCATACAGCAACGCAGTATACTTATAAACTACTTAAATTAATATATTGATAATTTCTTCATTAATTGAGTTCAAAAAAAGTTTTATACATATCAGGGAGTTCATGGGGGTATTTTGGACAAAAATAAATTTTGTTTTTTCTTGCATGTTTTCAAAGTTTAACTATTCCAGAATATTTGTACAAGAGATATTTCAAAATTCAAATTATTTTTGGATATAAAACTGTTTGAGCATGATCATCCTTTATTCTTTCCTTTACGAAAAAAAAATCGCGTTTTCCCCGAAACTGTCTTTTTCAATACAATACCCACAACTTCTCAATTTCTACCAGACTCATTTACTTGAAATTCTTTTTTTTTTATAGATTTCTCTTTAGCATGAACTATGCTCATCATCAAATTCCGATTTTTTTACTGTTTTTAATAAATTCTAGGACATCAAAAGAGATTGTAAAAAATATTTTTTTCGGACCGTGGCTATTTTGTGAAAAAAATTTTAACTTGTTGTTTATACGATAGCAACAATTAACTAGCTCAATAATATATTATTATTTTTTTCTTTAGATAATTCGGAGGGCTAAAATCAAGAGTCTAGTGAGATGCCAATTTTTTAAGATCGTCCACTTGATCACCTTCCGAGGGATAACTGAGGTATTACGTGTGCCGATTAAGATTAATGACTATTTTTAATTTTTATCTTGTAAAACAATATTTTATCTTGCAAAAGCACCACTAAATCTCTTCGAAAATTGCTAATCTAAAGCGAATTTTGCGCAAATATGCAAGAAATATACAGAATTCTGAGTCAATGTCAGACAAAAATGATATTGAAGATAAGATCTGTACTGATGTAGAAAAATTGCCACACAATTAAATTACTGAAAATAGTAAAAAAGATTGTGAAGTTATGGATAGTGATCTTAAAGAAATACCTGATTCCGAATTAGTCTCTATGCAAGTTTGTGAACTTCTAGACAATGAATATGCCAAACACACTGAAAATTATAATCAATTGCATAAGTCAAATGACTTGAAAAATAATCAAGAACAAGAAGATCCAAATATGTAGAGCGAGTTTCAGAAACTCGAGATACAGAACCGATTCCTCATAGTTTACTTGTTCCAAAGAATATTATCAAAGATAGTACTACAAAAGAAAAAGGAACATCAATGTCAGATGACACATTTGTTTTTGATTCAATGGAGTTGAAAGAATATTTGCAAAAACATTTTGACTCAAGGCCTCTAGAAACGTACGAGATAGTACAAGATCTCATTAAAAAGATGTTAGAAAAAACGTGCAAATAATATCAATTATATTTTTATGATAATTATATTTTGAATATACATGTGTTCAAATTGTATATAAACTATAATATGCTTAGCAATGCTGCTTGTATATAAAATATGTTTAATATTTATATATTTTAATGGTGCCATTGTATGTTATTGGAAACGTTTGCTTCCATCTTGTTTGCTTTTTTTAAATATTGTTTGTTTTTCAAAATTCACATAACATTATACCTATAGACTAGTATACGCCCTTAAGGAAAATGACACTTACACCCAGATTTTTAAACACCCAGATAATTAATTAATTCAATATCATGAGATTTAAAACTTCTAGGTATCTTCTGTCAAGAAAGTGGATTAAA